TGAAGCAAAAATTGGCCCTGGGTGCATCCAAGAAGTCAGACAGTGCTGCAGCAATTGGGGAAAGAGAAATAGGATCCATACTAGCGTGATATTTGCACACATTTTTTTATAGGCTCTATCTGCTTTGTACACACTGGAGTGCTTTTGTCGCATCCACAGAGCCCATTATTACACACATACTTGTGAAACTATTACACAGTGGGCATCTTTAAACTTTCATAAATTCCTTCTGACGTTGCTGCATTCTAGCTCTCCTTATAACCCTGAAGGCACCCAGCATTTGCAGGGGAATGAATAGAATGCTTTATAGGTAGGTGTCTAGAGAGCTCTGGTGAAGTAATGCAGGTTGAGTTGTGACACTAACCTCAAGGCTGTGCTGCTTCAGTGGTTCAAGCACCCCCAGCAGCTCTGAGAGAGGAAGTTGTGCAGTCTCCTCGCATGTGATTTGCAGGCTCTGAAACCCTCCAGAGGGTCAGCTATGAGGCAGTCCCGACTTGAAAGCAGGGAGAAGTAACGATGCCATTCAAATATTAAGGTACCTCCTTCTTCCATGAAATTTCAGTGTTTAAGAAAAGGAATTTTGTATAAAGGTTTTATAGAAAAGAATAAATTTTGAAGCTATTTCTGTTCTTCATTGATTTGATTGTAAGTGTCCATTACAAACTCATCTCTCTGCAAGAAGGTCGTCACCGGCTGTGCTGGTCTCTGTCAGAGTAGCTACTGTTGTTACGGGCTATCAAGTCAGAAGGACGAGATGGCCCGTTTTCCTCTTGCAGAGCAGCTACTGTACTCGAACCATGTGCATTTGGGTTGACAGCGCAGCTCCTTACCACTGGGTTACCAGAGTTCAGAATAGCCGTGGTAAGGGAAATGCTGAAACAATGCTCTGGGCTAAAACACAGCCTCTTCTTATTACCAGGATTGCTCATGTCTGATTGTTAGGTTCCATTGAGTCAAGTATGACTCATAGCGACCTTAAGAACTACAGACCTATCCTATCCTACAGACCCTGTCCTAGCCTGTGCCGTTCTCATTACCTCTGCGCACGTGAGCCCACTGCTGCAGTCACTGTGTCAGTCCGTCTCATTGAGGATCTTCCTCTCATTCAGTGACCCTCTTTTTTTCCAAGAACAGTGTTCCTGTCCAAGGAGTAACCTCTTCTCTCAACATGTCCAGAGTGTGTGAGACAGAGCTTTGCCGTCTTGGCCTCCAAGGAGCGTTCTGACTGCACTTTCCCCAAGACATACGTTTTGTCCTTTGGCAGTCCATGGGATAGTCGGATAGTCGGTACTCTTCTTCAGCACCGTAACTCAAGGCATTAGGAATTCTTCTGTCCTCCCTAGTCACTGTCCAGCTTTCAGATGCATAGCAAATGATTATAAAGACCATGATCTGAATCATGTTAGTCTTCAAACTGACATCACTTCTCAATAATTTGGGGAGGTCCCTGACAATGGACGGGCCCTATGCAGTACTCTCTTTGGTACCAGCAGTCAGGAAATGAGACACATTGCACTGGGCAAGTGCACTGTCATGAGGAACCTCTCCAGAATACATAAGAGCAATGGTGTCTGCTCACCGTGTAAAGGACTCAGATTGCCTGTTAACGCCTCTTCCTTCCTGTGTATCCCACAAAGTGCTTCGTTTCACGCCGTGTCTATAAAGACCCCCTTTGTGTATTGATTTTTACTTGTTTAGACTTCCAGCTTTAAATTGTTAAGTCTTATCTCCCAGACTCTCTAAATCTAGATGAAATTATCAAATTTACGTAGTTTGAGTAATTCTTAGGGAAATGTGAGTGCCTGCCAGCTGGTCGGTAATTGGTGTGCTGCATTTTTGGTGAGAAATAGAAAATGTGGAGAATCATCAGAAGGAATGGTGGTGGAATTGGGATGTGTTTTCCTTTAAAGAAAAAATAATTTTGGTATATGGCTCTTCTCACATCTTCTTAACCCCTTGACTTGTTTTTATACCGTTGTGGTTAATGACAGCTCGTTTTACTGGAGTGAGGAGGTGTTATTGTTACCTGTGTCAAGGTGGTCCATGGCTCATGGTGGCCGCACTCACAATAGGACAAGACGTTGTGACCTGAAGGATAGTCCCTGGCTGAGTTTTGGAAGTAGACTGACTAGTGTTTCTTCCTAGTCTGTCTTAGCTTAGATGCTCTTCTGAAACTTGTTCATTCTAGCAACATGCATGCTTCCTCTGATGATAGGTGATGGCTCCGTTTGAGCCTCATTGCTGGAGTCAAATCTGGGGTGCGCCCACTGGAAGGTGAGTGTTCTACTGCTGAACCCTCAGTGCTCTTGGAGTGAGGAGAGGGCGGAGGTTAAATGGATATGCAGGAGTTACACACAGAGCTCTGGAGCCGGGGGTGGGTAGCTTCAGTCCAGGATCAAAGACTGCTTTGGAACAGCTGGTTGTCCCCTGTGTTGGCATAGACACATCTTACTTGGGTTGATTCTGGCTCATAGTGACCCTTTAGGACAGAGTAGAAATGTCCCTTAAATTGCCAAGGCTGCAGATCTTCCCAAAAGCACACTGTCTGATTTTGTTCAGGGAGCAACTTGTGGGCTCAGCCTTTTTGTTAGCAGTTTAATTCCTGATCATTGCTCCACTGTTGTCATTAAGTGCCGTTGAGTCAAGAATGACGCATAGTGACTCTGTGAACAACAGATCTGAGCTCTGTCCTGCCCTGTGCCATCTCATGATCTCCAGGACCCTCAAACCCATTGCTGCTGTCACCATGTGAATCCACTTGGTTGAGGGTCTTCCTCTCCTTCCCTGTCCCTCCGCCTTCACAAGCGTGTTGTCCCTCTCCAAGGAATAATCTCTCCTAGCAACATGCCCAGAGTATGTGAGACGAAGCTTCATCATCTTTGTCTCCAAGGAGCACTCTGGCTGCACCTTCTCCAAGACATTTGTTCTTTTGGAAGGCCATGGAATCTTCAACATGCTTCTCCAACACCACAGTTCAAAGGCATCATTTCTTGTGTCATCCTTTTCATTCTGTGTTGTCTATCTCTCAGATGCACAGCTAGTGACTGAAAAAACCATGGCCTGAATCAGGCACACCTTAGTCCTCAAACTGACATCGTTGCTCTTTAGTAGTTTGGCGAGATCTAGCCCTGCCCAATGTTGGTATGTTGTTGTGTATAGTCAAGTTCGAAACAACTCATAGCTGACTATCCAGCAGGTTTTCAGAGTCGGTCAATGACATGGGAGGAGATTGCCCGTCCTCCTGTGGAGCACCTGGTGGATCTGCTTTGGGATTGTAGTGCAGTTTCTAACCATTAGGCCACCGGAACTCCCTGATGCTGACATACTGAGGGAATGCACTGGTGTGCACAAAATCAACGGCAGCAAGTTTCTTCAGTCCACTTCACTGGGGAGGGGAGAGAGAGAGAACAAGGGGATGTGAAGCGTGAGTGGGCTAGTTGAGAAAGGAGAACGAATGGTCACGTTGAAATCGTACGCTACTCCTGCTGTCAGTGCAAGTGAAATGATCCCTGAGTGAATCACGTAAAGCCAGGAGCCTTTCAGGTTTGGCGTTTTTCATGGAGACCATGTGACACCTTCAGATGACCGTGTGTGTGTGTGTGTGTGTGTGTGTGTGTGTGTTGTGGATTTCTGTAGTGGGGGAATATGGGAACATAACAGGGCATGTCAGGTGAGAAGTGCACTTGAGTTGACATAGAGCCTTTTAGAGGCTCCTAGGTCTTGCTGAGGCAGGGTAATGGGAGGCGATCAATGCAGTCATCAGGCTGTGACTTTTATTATCAGTCGTTTTCCTGGCTTGCTAACTGGTTCCTGAAATTCTTTGCCATTCTAAGAGAGGAAGTGAAGCTATAAAACCAGTAACTGTAGAAGGTGATGTCTTTGAACGATTTTCTTTTAGTATTTGGTCTTTACGGTGGTATTTGACCCATTTTACTGGAGGGCTTTTAGCAGTCCGTTGGGTTGTAATAAAGACTAAGACTTTGTGGGCTCTTTTGAGTAGAATTTGGTTCTTACACACCCACTCTCCTTTCCTATAGATTTAGTATTAGAAAGTATTTTTTATCTTTAGTATTAAATATTTTAATATTTAGCATTAGAAAAATATATGGTATTGACTTCAGGGACATTGATACAGTGTCAGGGGCTCAACTAGGCCAGAAGAAAACAATGGTGAAGAGGTAGCATAAAATGGAATTGAACGTAGCTATAGATACTTATTGGAAGCTGGAGTGGCACCACTTTGTAAACAGCATGCCTCTGGAAACTCTATGAACTTTGATAAATGTCGATAGTTGTAGAGGAGCTTCTGGCCTTTAGTTCATAGGGTCGCTGTGAGTTTTGCTCGACTCGAAAGCAGTCAACAACAACATAATGAGTGCAGTCAGTGACTTTGATTCTTTCATGCATTCATTTCAAGGAATCTGATTGGTAAAGAGATGATGTAGAAAGAGGAATAAAATAGGTCACATGCCTTCCATGGTTGAATAGCTCAGTTGAGAGTGCACAAAGTGCTTTAAGAACTTCGAGGGTTCATTGTGGGGTGGCTGGGGGCGGGCAAGGTGAGGAGAGAGAAAGTGTGCAACAATGAATAAAGAAAAAAAAATACTGAATGAATGGGGGGTGCGGAAGAACTTTGAGGCAAGAAGCCTGTAAGGAAAGACACAAGGGTGGGGTTTTGCTCTCACAGAAAAGGCCAGGGTTGTAGGTGGAGAGCAGACAGAAGGTTGGGCATTCTCAGCGTGGGGAATAGGATGAACAAGGCACAGAAGTGTGGGTGAATGACACTCGGGGCATGGAGAGGTGACTGGGGGATGCGGTGTGCAGTAGGTGGGAAGCTGTGATGGATGCAGAGGTTTCATCTGAGGGGACACGGCATGAGGTAGCTGGGTCAGAGTGAGCTGTGAAGGATGCAAAGGTTTTTTTGGGCGGTGAGGATTCGGGGTGTGTTTTTGCTGCTGCCTGTCTCAGAGGTTGTAACCCTCTGTCCTTTCTGTTCACAGCAACGAGCCCCGGGGAAAGTGCTGCTGGATGCAGTTTGCAATCACCTCAACCTCGTGGAAGGTGACTATTTTGGCCTCGAGTTTCCTGACCACAAAAAGATCACAGTAAGTGTGTCAGATTAATGTTATCATTCACAGCCTGTTCAGTTTGGGAGAAGGGAATATTGGGCAGCTTTTCTTGGCTGTACAGAAATATGTAAATGCAAAAAACCCAGCACGTTCTCCTGAGCATTTTATAAAAAAGGAAGCAAATGCATGGAATTAGCAAATTTGAAGACTGTCCCCCAGTACTCCCGGGAACCTCTATTGCTTGTGCATCCGTCAGGTGTTGACGGGGCCGTGTGTACAGGCATAGCTCATTTTATTGCACTGTCCTTTATTATGCTTTGCAGTTACTGCACTTTCCAAGTTGAAGGTTTATAGCAGCCGTGTGCCAGGCACGTCTTTCAGCATCATTTTCCACAGCGTGTGTTCACTTATGTCTGTGTCACATTTTGAAAATTCACACAGTATTTCAGACCCTTTCACAATGCTTTTGCACACTTAATAGACAGCAGTATCCTATCAGTGTAACTTTCATGTATTTTGAGAAACCAAAAATTGTTTAGGACTTGCTTTATTGGAATACTCACTCTATTGTGCTCTGGAACTGAACTCCAGTATCTCTGAGATATACCCGTGCACACAAACATGGATTTTAAAAATACCCACATGTGTGCAAACAGTGTATAGTATCTCCTGCTTTTTCTCCCTCCTTTGCACATTATCTTACCTTTTCAGCATCTACATCCTTATTTTCCAGAGCCACACGTTAGTCACCTGAACAGACAAACCCTCTATTGTGATGATATGTGGCTTGGGTTTCTTTGTAAGTTTTCACTATCACGAGTAATGTTATAGTGACTATATTAGCTAGTATGATTGTGTTTGCACACTTGGCCAAGTGTGTTAGCAATTCATATTTAAAAACGTGGCGTAGCCCCATCAGTGGGCCTGGCCGTTTTAAAGTTTGTTCTGTAAACCACAAGATTTCACCAGCTTAAGGCCAAAGCTTCAGCGAACAACATCTTCTCTTTTGTTTGGTGGCAATTAACTTAAAAAAAAAATCTTATTTTAAATGCTTTTTTATTGTAGGATGGTTCCCACCACCACCACCAAAGGTTTATACAGCAGATTAGGCTCCCATCTGGCAATTTCCACCCAGATTATTTGGTGACATTAGTCACATTTGTCCAATGTGTCATCATTCTCTTTGATTGGGTTCCACCTGTTCATTTTAGTACTTAGGTTTCGCTGCTCCTTTTCTTCTCATCTTTACTTTTCAGGAACTGTGGACCTCTTGGTCTTACTTACATAGTTTTAAGTGGAGCATTAAACTTGTAGATAATATTATTGGTTTTGTGTGTTACTCTTGTCATTTCCCTAACAGACAGCCTCAGGATGCTTTGGGCTCAAAATTTAAAGAGCATCTCAAGGCGATAGTGCCAGGAAGTCCTCTAGTCTCTACGGGTCCATTAAGTCTGGATGTTTTAAGAATCTGAGTTCCATTCTCTGTTCTCCCGTTCTGTCAGAGCTCATCTCTTGTGGTCCTGTTCAGAGTGGTTGGCAGTGGTCAATGGGCACCATCTAGTTCTTCTCGTCTCAGAGTAGTTGTGGCTGTGGTTATTGTAGGCTGTTAGCCACCCTGTGGACTTGTTAGTTCTCACAGACTTTGGTTTTCTCCCCTTTTGCTGCTGAGGAGTAGACTAATACTGGTGTCTTAGATGGCAGCTCGTGAATATGAAAACCCCTGATGTCACTCACCCCGCTAGGACGCAGAACGTCAACTCTAGGAATTAGATTATGCCAGTTGACCAAGTTGTTCCATTGATTTGTTAAAGCTGCTACGTTTTAATGATTACTTTCTTCAAGCTGCAAGTTCATTGACTGTACTTCCGCTAATTCTTTTGCTTCTTGTGCACCCTTGAGTTGGAACTGACCCATTGCTGACCCTCCAGTGGGTTTTCATTGGTAGTAAGTCACATGGGAGATTGCCCCTCTTTCTCCTGCAGAGCAGCTGGTGGATTCGAACCACAGACCGTTGCAGTTCCTCACCACTAAGTCACCAGACCTCCCCTTCTTTCCCTAAGTTCATCTGAAATATGTGGTACCGTTATCAGTCTCTGAATAGTAGTGAGACACATACACGCTTTCATCATCAAGAGTTTTGTGATCTAGGTAAGAATGGGACTTGAGACAGTGTGCGACAGTGAATGCTGGACAGTAGGGACTGCAGACGTTTGTTGGGCATGGAATCCTTATAGACACGACTGAGTTCAGGGAGGCTGGTCGGCATAAACCTCATGAGATGAAAATTCCAGGGACAACTCATCTTGTACAGCGAGCAGGAAGTGTATGTTGTTGTTGTTGTTGTTGTTGTTGTTGTTGTTGTTGTTGTTAGGTGCCATCTAATTGACTTTCAGTTGATAACAACCCCATGAACAATGGAAACCTGCTCGATCCTGCACCATCCTGGACATTCTTGAGCCAATTGTGACAGTCACTCTGTCGGCCCATCTTATTGATGGCCTTCTTCTCTTTTGCTGAATCTCTGCCTTTTGCAGCATAATATCCTTTTCCAAGGACTGGCCCCTCTTAACCACATGCCCAAAGTCTGTGAGATGAAGTTTCATCATCTTTGCCCCCTGGCTGCACTTTTCTCCAAGACATAGCTGTTTGTTCTTTTGGCAGTCCATGGGACATTCTGTAATCTTCTCCGACACCACAGTTCAGAGCATCACATCTTCTATCATCCTTCGTCATTGTCCGACTCTCAGATACATAGAAACGAACTGAAAAGACCATGATCTCGATCAGGTGCACCTTAGTCTTTAACCTGACCTCACCGACTCTCAGCGCCTCTGAGAGACTTTGTCGATTACACAAACCCCTCCTGAGAACTAACTTCATACTATTTTTAAAATAACTTGTTCTTGCAAAGTTAAGCTATGTTGTTAGTGAGGGGTGGTGTCTGGCTACAGAGGCACCAAGAGGGGACTTGGGGACCCTAGTACGTTCTGTTTCTTGATGCAGCTGCTAGTTACACCACTTACTCAGTTTACAAAAGTCCGGTGAGTTATACGGTGAGGAAGGAGCCCTGTGGTGTCGTGTGTTCCACGGATTTGAATCCATGAGCCGTACCTCTGGAGAAGGACGAGTCGTGTCTTCCTGTCCTGAGAAGCCCAGTGGAGCCTTGACATGAGGCTGAATAAACTCAATTGCTGTTGGTTTCTGTTAAATACTTAACACAACATCACAGAATTTATCTCATGCATGCTTTGATAAAAGGGTTACCCTCAAAATGCAATAAAACAAAAACACAAATTTGTCAAGATAATGACTCAGAAGTGCTCAGAAATTGGCTGGTGGCATCTGCTTGAGAAGAGCCAAGGGCAGGCTTTGAGTGAAAGAAGTAAGAAGAGCTACTTTATTGTGAAATAATAACTAGGTGTCATTTCACCTCTGCTCCCAGACAGAGTTGCCTTAAATTTAAGATGTGTGTCTTACCGTTTCCGTCCGTGTCTGGCTCTGTGATAAACGGGTGATGGGCTGTGGAGGTGGGAGGAGCCCAGCTCTGCAGCCACCTTTGCCTCCCGCCGGCCAGGTGACTGGCAGGATGCTTGGCCTTACTGAGCCTCAGTTTGCATATTGAAATACGGGCAGCATGTTTATTCATCACACTGTTTTTTCAACACACTGATAATCTGTAGCAGGTAATCCAATGTCTGAAACGTGTTCAGAAAGTACTAGCTGCAAAATCTTAACTGCCGCCACCACCACCAGCATCATTTTCACTACTACTGTTACTACTTGATGGCTCAGTGGTTAAGCAGCTGGGCTGCTCACCAGAAGTTCAGCAGTTTGAATCCACCTGCTGACCTGCAGGGAAAAGATATGGTAATCTGCTGACATAAAGATTTATAGCCTCCGAAACCCAGTAGGACAGTTCGGCCCTGTCCCGGGGGCCTCTGTGAATCAGGATCAGTTTGACAGCTGTGGCTGATGTGACATTTCTTGCTTTCTTTGGGCAGAAGCTTACGTGTCTACCAGACTCCAAAAATGTGCGCTGTTCTCCCAGTGCCCTGATGTAAGATTATCACTCCTGGTCTTGCCCAGTGATCTGCCAGTGAGAAGTGGGTCAACAGGTTGTCCTCCAGAAATTCTGGGCGCGAAGAGTGTGGATCTCTGTCTCTACACGTAAAGCTATGGAATTCAAGCAACTCCCATCCCAACTCACCTTCTGCCCAGTCTCTTCAGTCTGTCTTGTGAACACAACTCAGAGTCTATTTATAGTAAGGGTGTGAAAAAGTCTGAGGAGGAAGCGATTGCTTTTGGTAGTCTAAGATGCGTATTTCTCAATGTTGGAAATAGGCTAGTGATAATTATTAAATGATCGATTAGGCTCTACCCTTAATTAGACTCCTCTCTGGCTGATGTCATGTTTACACACACAGGTGCGACCTGATGTTGACCTTGGATGCAGGCAGCTTTTCCCCCCGGGGCCACCCCTAAGAAGCACAGGATTCCTTAATCAGCTTTTATTTTATAGAATGTGCTTTCTGTGGCAGTTACACTATTGATCCAGGAATCAAGACTCTGTACTTAACTTGCCAGCTAATTGGTACCTGAAAAATCTGAAGACCAATAGAGAATTGGAAAGTCATTAGGGCAGGATAGGAGTGAGCTCAGGGAACTAAGTGGCCTTGAACATCAACTAATTCTGTTGTAAACTTAACACATCTCAGGAAGAGTGAAATGGAGTGAAGGGATTGTAATCAGTGTCAGAAAGCTCTATATGTATGAGCGGTTCAGTGAAATACTCATGTCCTCTGTCAATTCTCAGTCAAATCATAATAATAAATTGTTGTTGTGTTATGTGCCATCATGTCACCTGCAACTTATAGCAACCCAGTGTACAATAGCTCTGAAGCCTGCCCTGTCCTGAGCCAGTCTCACTGACTCCGACACACCTACCCCCGTTACCCTAGTTACTGTATTAGTACATCTCATCCGAGGTTTCCTCTCCTGTGCTGTCCCTCCACCCTTCCGAGCATGATGTCTTTCCC